AGAATGAGAACTACGTAGACATTTTCTACCAGACCTCAGGAACAAAGACATAGAATCCCCAGTGTTGGTTTTCCTGGGAAGTGAATGGGTTTGTATGTTTTGGGGAGGAGTTGGTTTTGTTTTATTCTGTTTTTCAAGATTGGGCTCCCTGTAATTTTGTTGATTTCTCCCCCAACCCCAGTACTAGGGATTGAACCCTGAGCCTTGAACCATGGTAGGCAAGCATTCTACCACTGAGCTATATCCTCAGCCCTAAAAACTAAAATAGAATAAGCCATTTAAAAACTTACCCTGGCATAAGAGATCAAGATACACTTTTTACCCTGGTTTGATAGCTCTTTGTGCCTGTAACACTGAAAAGGACACTAGAAGGCACCTCTGGGAATAAAGGCGACCTGAGTCAAGTAGAGATCTGTGAAAGTCTGAGGTTTTCCTTTCACTTTGATCTGAGACAGGAATTTAGGATGGGGCCACAGCAGCTGAATTCATGAGCCCAAAGGACCCAGGAACACGTTGGGTATGAGCTTGTTCACTGGTGAATTCAAAGCCAACCTAGAGTACATGGCAAGACTTAGTTTTACCTGTACCACCACTCCCTATACCCCCCCCAAAAAAACTTCTAAGCAGTTATTTAATGGAAGTGTGACAATCTATAATTTGATAATAAATTAATCACCCAATGAAACAAAACTGCCAACATTTTTTTTGAAAAGCATAAAGGATCCAGAATTTCCACAATATGAAACAGTATTTACAATGTCCCAAATGCAATCCAAAATTACCCAACATACAAAGAGCCAAGAAAACGAGAGCTCCTCCCAAAGGAAAAGACAGCTGCCTATGTGTTAGTTAGCTTTTGGTGTTGTGATGGCATTCCTGTAAGAAATCAACTCAGAAGGAAGAAAAGTTTATCTTTGCTGATGGTTTCATTGTATGGTCTCTTGGTTCTGTTGCTTTGACCTTTGGTAGCCTCACACATGCATCATGGAAGTAGGAACATTAGAAGACTGCTTCTTAGAGTGATCTCAAGCAGGGGTTAAGGGGTGCTCTAGAAATAGCTCAGTTGGTAAAGTAAGCATGAGGACCTGTTAGAACTCAGGAATACATGTAAAAACCCAGGCCAGTCTAGCCTAATTAGTCTAGAGTATCAGGCCAAGTGAGAGACCCTTTTATCAAAAAACCAAACAGGGCAGGCAGCTCTTGAGGAACAAAATCAAGGTTCTCTGGCCTCCACATATAGGCATATGTACACCTCCACCCCAAGCACACACACAAGAAAGAGAGGAAGCATGAGGTCCCAATGTCCCCTTTAAGGGTACACCCCCCCCCAGTGACCTAATTTCCTTCTAGGTCACACCTCCTAAAGGTTCCACCACCTCCCAGTAGCTCCATAGCCATCCAGCAAAGCCTTTAGCATATGGGCCTTTGGAGGATATTAAGATCCAGACCATAGCACTGACCCTAAAGTGACTCAGGGGTTGGCACTACTAATGACTTGTACACAGCCTCGGGTAGCTTCATGCTTTGAAATAGAATAAATGCACTTGCAATAAATGAAGATAGGAATGCCAGCTAGAGAAAGTATACGGAGAATCAGGTGGAAGGTAGACCTTCATAATTAAACAAGAGACCAAAATGCCAGCCTAAAGCCAATGGTATCACTATCTTAATATTAATGAATTGGGCACCCCTAGGCAAAGATAGAATGGCACATGGTGGTCTGAACCTCTAATCCCAGTATTCTGGAGGCTGAAGCAAGAGGATTGAGAGTTTGAGAGTAACTGAGGCTAGTAAGACTTCATGAAGGAGAGAGTAGAAAGTATTTTTAATATGAAGTATATAAGCCACCAGAATTTGTGAGCTACAACTAAAGTGATTACAGTGAAATTTGTAAGTCAAAGTCAGCAAATAGGAAAAAAAAACTAATAGAGGAAATTAACAAAGCCAAGTTATTTTTCCTCAACATATCAACCTTATATCTGAACTCAGTAAGATACAAAGATTAGAATGTATAAACTGTTATTGGGAATGCAAGAAAGATGATCACTTAAGGGCCTATAAACCTAGGTGCATAAAATGAGTATTACTTAAAAGCCAAGCAGGATGGTACACATTTAGAATCTCACCACTCTAGAGGTGGAAGCAGGAGGATCAGTTTGGGGCCAGTCTTAGGCTACATAGCAAATTTGAGGATAGCTGGGCTACATGAGACTTTACAAAAAAAAAAAAATCACTATTACTTCAAAAGATCACTTGTTTTGTGACTCTTCCTGCGGAAATACAAAGAAATAGCTATTCACTCCAGATAGTGAGGATACCAGCAGACCAAAGAAATGATTCTACAGGTCAGTTACTGGGTTACTCACAAGAACATGGTGACTAAAAGCAGCTGTGTCATGAAAGAGTCCCCACCCCTAGTCAGCCTTCCTCCACTTATATATTCTAGCACCCCCAGAACATAGCTAGAGAGCGGAAGAACTGGGAACATGAGTCCCAGGTGAGGGTCAGGTGACCTTCCTCCTACTTCCTTCAAAATGTCAGCACTATTGCTTTGCCCTGACCTTGGGGCCTAGGTGCTCAGACTAGAGGTCTGCCCCATGATGGCCAGGAATCTCATCAGGCCTAGAGGAAATGGTTTTACTACAACAATGTAAAACATTTTTCTAAGAAATTAGAAAACCTGCACAAAATGTACATATTTTAGAACACTAAACATAATTTACCAGCCAAGAATAATAGATTTTAAATAGCCTTATTTGTACTAAAGAAGTTGAATTTGAATTTTTTTTTTTTAAAGCCTGTTGAACCAGGAAAAAGAAGGGAACCTCTTTAGCCTGTCAGTAGACATCTATGAAAAATGGCTACAGCTGACTTCCCTTTTTTAAAAAAAACAAAACAAAACATGAAATGCCTTTATTTAAAGGTTCTGGGAAATGGTTATATATGGCTGGCAATACAGGCTAATATTTTGATTGTCAGAAGCTGACTGGGTTCTAGGAATTCATTCTAGGAATGAACCTGTCCTAGCACACAGTAGGTTCTATGTACCTTGGCAGACTGTCCTGTTCCTTTTAAACTTAAGAAAACTCCCAACCATCTCTGATACCAATATATTCTAATAATCTAGTATGATGTCCTTTAAATCCTCCTTTACACCTTATAAAAAAGAAAAAAAAGCAGCTTGCTGTCAGAAATATTTGGAGACCCCCCTTCAGTGAAATTAGTTACCACAAAGAGTATTTATTTACAATTCTGTTGTCTGGTTCCCCTTACTCAAGTAGCCAGTATATGTTTTACTATTATATCAGGACACCAAATCTCAAGGGACCCCATTAGTTCACATGCAAAGCTTCATATTCACAGCTTTCCTGGTGTGATGGACACTCTAACTTCCCATTTCTTCATCTAAAAAACTGGAGAGCAGTAGCTACCTGAGAGTCTTGAGAACTCAGTAGGGTACGTGACTCACCTGCCACACTGTCCTGCTGCTCTACCTCATGTGAGTGAACACCTGATGACTACACTATTTTACCCCACTGGAACTTAGTGTATAGTTTGGTGTACATCTATTGAAATACCTACATTGGGGCAGCTTCAATGGCATCTTATTTGTAATTTTCAACCTTCCCTTGGAACCAAGGCAGCTGTGTTACTGGGACTCTGGGGATAGACTCTAGTGGTCAGGGTTGGCCCCGTTCCGCAGCCTGCACAGGACAGCAGCTGATTGGCCAGCCAACCCTGCAGAACCAAAAGCCTCGTGGTGGAGTACTGGGTGTTCTTGCTCTACCAGGGGAAGCAAAGCATGTCTGCCTGTGCAGCATTGACAGTCAGCACTTCCAGGAAGTTCTGGCCATTACAATAAAAAAAGAAAAGAGTATAAAACACATAAGCTGAAGAACTAAACGTTTCTTTGTGTGTAGGTGACATGATTTTTTAAATAGAAAACAACTCCTAGACTAATATGAAGATCGGAGGACACTAAGTTAATATTAAAAGCTTTTGAAAACTACCAGAAAACAGTTGGAAAATGAAGTTTTAAAAAAATGTCCTTGTCACTTTTGCAGTTTATATTCTTGTAATCCCAACACACAGGAGTCTAAGGCAGCAGGATTATGAATTTAAGGCTATCTAGGTGAAATTAGCAAGACCCTGTCTCAAAACAAATTCTACCAACAGTACTGCCAGAGAACTTATAATAGTTAAGAATAAATTTAACAAAAGATGCAAAACTTCCAAGCTGAAAATTACAGAACATTGCTGAAGAGTTAAGTAAGACATAAGTAGTCAGGTGTGTCCTACCATTCTATATCTGAAGGCAAGAGGATTATGAATTCAAGACCAGCCTGGGGTACCTACTGAGTTCCAGATCCACCAGACTAACTACATAGTGAGACCTACATGGGTAAATGTGGAAATACACTGTGTCTTTGCAGGCTCTGTATTGTCATATGTGGTGGTCAGGTGGCTTTTGACAAAGATGTCCTAAGCAATTATTTAAAGAGAAGAAAAGTAGTTTGAAGAAATGATGCTAGGATATCCATAGGAAAAAGGTGAACATTAAACCTTTATTTTTCATCATATCACCAAATTAGAATGGGTCAAAGACGTGCATGGGAAAGTCAGAACTATGAAGCTCTTAGAAGTAAAGTCTTGGTATCAAGAATTTCTTAGAAATATAAACCATATTAATAAAAAAATTGATAAATAAACTTTATAAACTATAAAGGTTTCACTGTTCAAAAAGCATTGTTAATGAGGCTAGAGAGATGGCTTAGAAGTTAAGAGCCTTGCTGTTCAATCATGAGGACCTAAGTTTAGATGCCAGGAACCATATTGGGCAGCTCACAACTGCCTGTAAGTCCAGCTTTATAGGATCCATGAACACACCTGTACACACGTGCACATACACTCATACACAAACAGACACACACATGCACACAGAAATAGAATAACTCTTTAAAGAGAAAAACACTGTTAAAGACTGACGGCTTCCTTGGTGGTAGGGTGCTTTCCTGACATGTAAGAGGCCCTAAATTAAATCCCCAGCCCCATAGAAAAGAAAAAAAAAAATCACTAAGAAGGCAGAAAAATAAGCCACTGACTTAAAGAAAATACTGAATATGTATGTCTTAATCAAACAGTCTCTGTTTACTATCTTCCAGAAGAATTGTTACAGAACAGTTATCCTTATCAGCCCCTATTGTGGGTGCTGTGTTAGAAAACAAACAAAACAAAAACCTTGCTATATATATATAACAGGATGAGAAGGATTATTAAATATATATCAAGTCATGATAATTTCTCTGAGAGAAGAGAGTGACAAGGGGAAGCTAATTGGAAAAAAAGAGCAGAGTCAAAATAAGGTGGGGAATGTGAGCCATGTGGTGAACTGGGAATAGCAGTGACTCTGGGCCTAGAGAATGGAAAGTGGGACAGAAAAGTCGCCGACACCACATTAGGAAGGCCCTGGGAGAAGCTGAATCTCTCTTTGTATAGGAGGAAAGCACTCTGAGCAGGTGAGCCATGAGTGCCCATGATCCAGTAGAACAGTTGTGGGCTAGGCCAGTGAAGTCCATTGCATATAGAAATACATTGTAGAACCAAGACGCCATATCCATACCTCATTCCACTATTACTTGTGTTCATTAACTCGTTTAACTGTGATGGTTAGTGTTGTCAGAATCTGGAATCACCTAGAAGACAAGCTTCTGGGCATGCCTGTGGGGAATTAATCTTGATCAGGTTGAGGTAGGAAGACCCAGCCATTGTCAGAGACACCATTTACTGGGTTTAGTGCCTAACAGCAGAAAAGGGGAAGCTATGAGAGACAAGCATACAGCCATCGCTGCTTCATGCTCTCTTCATGCAGACTCCCCGCCATGGAGGACTGCACCCTTGAACTGTGAGAGAGAATAAGCTCTTTCTCCATTAAGTACCTTTGTCCCATATGAAAACACACATAGAAACTTTTGGGCTTAACCACAATTATGATGCCTAACATTTTGGGGTAGTGGTAGGGAGGATTGAGCCCAGGGTCTCCTACCTGCTCTGCCATGGAGCTGCATTGTGGGGTCCCCTGGCAAAGTTTCTTAACTCGGAGACAGTCTTGCCAGGTGGTCCAGGCTGGCCTTGAATTTTTGATCCTTCTGTTTCTACCTCTCGAGTAGCTGAGATTGCAGGTATGTACCACCATGCCCTCAGTAAAACCAGTTTTCTGATTAGGAAGATCTAGGTATTTTAGTTGCACCTCTTCACAATATAGATAGTAACAATTCCTGAAGGTTTTTGAGCTTTCCTTGATACTACCTACTGCAAGCAGGTCAGTTACAGCACCACTGTGCTCTCAGGAGACTTCTCGTGTTGCCTGGTTTTGCCTGGTTTTACAGGAAGCCAAGGCCTAGAGGGACCTAAGATTTAAATGCCAGTTTATGCCAGAATCAATAGCTTCAGCTGTTATTAGGCTGTTTTTGTTTTTGTTTGTTTCCAGTTCTGGGGGTGGCCTCATACATGCTAAGCAAGCAAGCACTCTACCACTAAGCTCTACCCCCAGCCCAGAATGTTCACTGAAACTTACTTCTCAAGAGTCCCACTTCAAAAGAGTGTTAGATCCCCTGGAGCTGGAGTGATAGGCAGTTGTTAAGAGTCTGATGTGAGTGCTGGAGATCAAACTTTGATCCTTTGGAAGAGTGGTATCATGAGCATGTCTCCAGTCTCAATTTCTGTATTAAATTTTTTTTTCCTGGTGGTGGTAGTGGTAGTGTGTGTGTGTGTCTGTGTGTCTGTGTGTCTGTGTGTCTGTGTGTGTGACGTGCACACACCATGACACACAAATGGAGGTCAGAGGACTGCTTTGAGGAGTTCCTTTTTTAAAAAAATATTTTATTATTTTTATTTTGTGTGTATGAGTGTGTTGCCTGCATGTATGTGTGTGCACCCGTGTGGTGCAGTGTCATGGAGGTCAGAAGAGGGCTTCGGGTTCCCCTGGAACTGGAGTTAAGGATGGTTTGTAGCCATCATGTGGGTGCTGGGAATCAAACCCAGGTCCTCTGCAAGAGCAGTCAGTGCTCTTAGCCGCTGAGCCATCTCTCCAGCTCCAGAAGTTCCTTCTTTCCTCCCTGCTGAGATCGAGCTCTGGTCATCAGGCTTTTGCAGCAAGCGTTTTTACCTACTGAGCCACCTTGCCAACCCCTATTTCATGTTTTCAGTGAATTAGAGTATGTTAAACTTTAATTTCTACCAACATTTTAATATGCTCTGGATGATACAAAATTGTTTATACCTTATAATAATATGTCTCTGATTTTTTTTTTTTATAGATTGAAGAATTCTCATTAAATAAATTAGGGAATTTCAGTCTTAAAGATATTGAGAAAGACTCTGTGGTCTGGGAATACACTGATAATACTGCAGGGGACACCAGCACAGCAAAAGAGGAGGCGCCAAGAGAGACGCCAGTGAAGAAGGGGCAGGTCTGTCCTCAGTCGCCTTCATTCCTCAGTCATGGCATTGTGCATCGATCTGTCTCATCTTCTTTATCTTAACTGTATTTTGGTTTGGTTTGGTTGGGTTTTGGGTTTTGAGACAGGGTCTTACTATGTTTCCCAGGCCAACCTGGAACTCACTATGTAGCCTAGGGTAGTCTGGAACTCATGACAGTCCTCCAGCCTCAGCCTCTCCAGTGCTGGGATTATGGGCAGGAGCTACCATACCTGGCTTTATTTTATTTTAACTATCTTTGATATTTAGTGTACAAAGCATTGTTTTCATTATGACATTTCTAAACATGTATTGTTTTATTGTATTAGCCCTCTGTAACCCTTTTTTGGACCACTTATCTCCCCACCTTCCTTATCTATGTCTATAATAGCTTCCTTTTTACTTCCATGCCTTTCCCCTCTTTTACAGTCCACATATGGGACAAAATGTGTAATGTTTGTCTTTGTGAGACTGGCTTATTTTAATATGATAATCTCCAGTGCCACACATTTTCCTGCAAGCAGCATAATTTCTTGTTTTCCACACACACACACACACACACACACACACACACACACACACACTATTTTCTTCATCCATTGATCCATTTATGGGTACCTCGGCTCATTCCATAACTTGACTAATGTGAACACTGCAGTGATAAGTATAGGCATGTGGTTTCCCTATGTAAGCTGACTTTAGTTCTTTTTAAGTATATAGCTAGATTATGTGGTCATTCTGGTTTTTGTGGTCATTTTGGTTTTTTAAAGAAATTTAACACTGATCTACTGTTTCATGACTATTTCATTTCTTTATTCAGCCCCGTGAATAAACAAATAATGAGAAAAATTTTTAATTGACATCATTAATCCATTTATTTATATGGCCTCTTCTGTATACAGAGGCCTTTGAAAGATACTGAGATTTCATCAAATAAAGCTTTACTTGTCGCCAAATGTGCTCAGATCTTAGATGGCATTGTGAGGTTTAAATGTATGGAGAGTTAACTTCAGACTACTTAAATAACAGTGAATATATCTATGATTTAATGTACTGATCCTATACTACTGGGAGTATGCAGGGGAGTTTATGTTTAAAGGGCTGGGGATGTAGCTTAGTGGAAGACTGATTGTCTAGCTTGTACAGGCCCTGGGTTGGATCCCTAGTACTACCAAATAAATAAAAAGAAGAATTGTCCTTAGACTTTCAAACAAATGTAATTATAGTAGTAGTAACAATAGGACTGGTGAATTGGTGAATGAGTCCCAAACCCTAGGACCTTCTTAGAGCCCTTTGGAGTAAGATGACAATAATAGCCATAAAGTACTTCTAAGACTGGGATTCAAGGTTCTAATCCCAGTGTGTACTAACAAGTCATTCCATTCCTTCAGTCATGGGGTATGTATGAGTCAACTGAGAGTGGGGACTGTAGATTCTCCTGTTTCCTAGACTCGGGGTTAGGGAGGATGTACCTTGCCTGTCTGCCCCCAGAACACCACCACTTCTGTTTTCCATTTGGGGTTCCAGTTGTGGACAGTAGTCCTGGTTACTTCCTAGCTGTTTGTTCTTGGGCAAGTCACTTAATCTTTATGTGGCCCTGTTTCCTCCCAACAAATAATATCGGTACCCTCTCATAGGGTCAGTGTCGGGTGCGGAGCACTCAGTAAATCCTAGCTACTGTTCTTATTTTATTTGAAAACGAATGTTCTCTACTTTTAAAAAAAAAGGTTAAATGTCAGTGATCTGGATATTTCAGAAAACAAGTTTCTTGCCATAATACTTGCAAGTCATTTCAGTGAGATGCTTAAAAATCCTTTGTAAAGCTAAAAAATCTGTGGATAAAGAAGCAGAATTTAAGAAGGCCCTCAACTTCTAGGGCTATTTTCTATGTCCTCAGCTATAATGTTTGGAACCTCGGTCATTTCCATTTCAGTCAGTCACTCATCTCTGCCATGTAATTCCCCGAGGTGACTTGTTTTTTTAATTGGCAGAACCTTTGTATTTGAGATTTACTAATTAATAAAACATTACACTTATTTTGAGGTGTGGTGTTAAAAATATGATTGGAGACAAATTTATATACCTCAGAGCAACAAAAAAGTTTTTTTCATTGTCAACTCTGGAAATAATGTGAAGAAAAACCATTGTTGTCACTCCATTTAATGCTTTATTTCACCCCCACCTCCCCACCCCAGTTTGGAGAGTTCAGTCATGCTGCCACTTCTGAAATAAGTTCTAGAGGTGACATGTGATATTGTGAAAAACGCACTGTACTAAGATCAGGAGACCCAGTTCTTTCACTGCCAAGCAGTTTGCCTGAAAAGTCACGAAAGCTTGTTGGAATCTCAGTTCTATCTTTTGTAACAAATGGGAGTTGAGCTAAATTACTTATTAAGAGCATCGTACAGTTGTGACATTGTATTTCAGTGATACATGGATTTCTTAAAAAGACTAGACCTGAGAAAATACAGAGAGCAACCAAGTCTGCCAGATGCTTTCCCTTGTTTCTGATTTAATCCTCATAACTATCCTGTGTTATAGGTGGTATCATCCCTACTCTGCAGATAATGATAGCGACCATTTTTTGAACACTGTGTGCCAGGCACTGTGCTAAGCACTTTACAGACACTATCTCACTCAGTCCTCCCAACAACCCTATGAGGTGGGTACTGTTATCCCCGTTTATCAGATGAGGAAACCAAGTCTTAGCTAGTTTATAGACCTTGACCAAGATCATCACAGCTGGTGCATGGCAGAGTTTGGATTTTAAACTAAGCTTATCCCATAGCCAAGTCTTTTATCCACTGCCCTGCCTGTACTGCTGAACTTAGAGTGGAGAAACTAAGTTGCAGGGCAACTAGGAGCTGTGAGCTGACAGAGTCGCTATTGGGGAATCACACCCCGCCCCCCGCCACTTCTGTCAAGTCCTGTATACCTTACATTATATCAAGTATCTAGTTGAACTTGTCAAAGTCTGTGATTGAAAAACTAGTATCAAGTTCTGACTTTAAACTTCAGTGTCACTGGCAGATTTAGTGTGCTTATATAGCATATCAGGGCAAAGAGAGTGATTTTTCTTTTATCTCTGAGCTTTGGCGCTACCCATTTCTGGGTATCCATACCTATAAAGGTGCCCTCCAGCAGCAGTGATGGGAAGAAGTCTGTTCTGAGCGTATTTAGATGTGCTGTCTGGCTAAATAAAATTAATCCTATTTCTATGTTAATGGCTAGATTTTAACTTACTTGAATTCCGGTAAAGTGATGCTGTTTTACCACTAACAAAATAGAACCTAGAATTTGATTTATCTAGATGGATTGTCAAGTCTGTGTTCTTGATAAGTCTTTTCAGATTTTTTTATTTGATATTTGAGTAATACCTAATTTTTCAGACTAAGCTGACATATGAATTAATCTCTGTGTTTCCCTTTATTATAAATAGGTGCCATTGATATTTAATATAAAACACCAGCCTTCAGTACCAGTTGGACAACTCTGGGTGGAACTGCTGCGATTCTATGCTTTAGAGTTTAATTTGGCTGATTTAGTGATTAGTATCCGTGTCAAAGAATTGATATCCCGGGAATCAAAGGATTGGCCCAAAAAGCGCATAGCCATTGAAGGTAAGTTTAATTGTTTTGTAAAAGGCACAGGTCTAACAGTCTGCTTTTTATTACTCTCTTCGCAGTTCTTACCTGGTTTAAAAGGTAAAATAAATATGGAATCTTACATGTGTTACATTGGATTCTTCCAAGGGACCAAGGGTTAATCAGTGGTTTTTTTAAGTACTGTAATTAAGTATCTTAGTTATCAAGTAACTGGTTAACAGTACCTGAGTCCTTGCTTTGTAAAATTGATTAGCAGCTTAAACACTTTGAAACTTCTCCCCAATGTAGGTAGGTTCCCCTTTCCACTTTGCTGTGCTGACTTCTGTGTTTTTAAATTCTGTCCTCTCAGCAATTCTAAAGTAGAAAGCAGTAACTTACTCATAAAAGCATTTTCCTTGAAGGCTCACTTCCCTGAACACACACACACTCTCAGAAAGACACTCGCGAGCCCTGTAGGTAACACTAAATGGGCTAGCTCTTCTCAGCTTTACCAAGTCAGGAGGTTGCAGCCCCTCTAGAAATCTTAATTCTCCTCCTTTAAGTGATTTAAGAAACAAACCACAAACTCCTACAACGAAGTTTCTCATTTTTGCTTGATTTTTTTTCAAGCTTTATGTTGCATAAGATTTTTTTTTCTTTTTTTTTGTTTTTTTTTTTACATTTTGCATAAATTCTGTGTGCAGTTGTGGGGATCTCACATTTTTAAACCCTCCCCTGCAGTTTCTCTGGCTCAGCTCTTCTGGCCAATTGCCTAACCTGCTGGAGTTCTAGGGGAGGAGAAAAGATTGAGAGAAGTGGTGTCTCCTCCTGGTGCCTCCCTCTCGCCCCTGAAACTCAGGCCAGCCAATTCAGTGATGGGGCTTCCCAGGGCGGAAGAGTGGAGGTAAGCTTAACACACTGCAGGGCTGGCTGAGTGGGGAGCGGAGCACTCAGCCATTGAAGCCTGTTGGGAAGACCTAACTTCCCCAGGGCACGAGAACCACACTGATGACGTCTTTCCTACCTCCACAGTTATTGAACAAAACAGGGAAGGGGTATGAGTTCTGATGGGTTCTCTGTAGAGCAGATGTTTCAGAAAGCATTACCTTTTCTTCTGTTATTGTTGTTCTTTTAAGCATATAAGATGCATGGTAAATTTACTGTTGTTTATTTGTTGTCTGTTTTTATCTGCAGAAGTCTTAAGTTTTAAAGCATGATGAAATAGATGTATATGAAGTGGTGGATTTCTCTTTTTATCTTCTCTCTCTGTTTTGTTACAGACCCCTATTCTGTTAAAAGGAATGTGGCAAGGACCCTAAATAATCAACCTGTGTTTGAGTATATACTTCATTGTTTAAGAACAACATATAAATATTTTGCTCTTCCACACAAAGTTGCAAAATCCAGCCTTCCAAAGCCTCTGAGCCCAACTGCATGCATTTCAGAACATTCTAAAGAAGCAGAAAATTGTGACCCAGACCTCCAAGCAAAAGATAATAAACTGGAAAATTCAGTTTTGGTTCAAGGTCCTGGTGCTATTACCACTTCAAGTGCCTGTAAGGCACAGCCACTTACTCTTGAAGAGACTGCCGAGAATTTTGGCAGCCCCCTGGAGAAGGAAATGGGAAATGTCCACATCGATATTCATGCGGGAAACTCAGGCTGTATCCAGGTGGAGGTCAGTTATGAGGATTATATGGATGTTACAGTAAAACATCAAGAAACAGGAAGTGAAAATGAGAAAGAGAAAACCAGAAGGAAGGGCAAGCATCCTTTGACCACTGATAATCAAGGTTTAAGCAGGAGCAAGCTCCTAGAACTTCAAACCTGTGGCCGCACATGTAATTATGAGGCAGAGAGCACTTTGGATTTAGTAGGGTTCCGTAATCCTACAGCTAAAGAGGGTGATTTACTTGCTTCTTTAGATAACAAGGCTTATGTTAATCAAAGTATAGAAGATACTGATGAGCTAGAAGATTCTCTAAACCACTTTGCCCCTTTAGTCCCAAGTCAGACATCAGACATCATTCACTTTGATGAGGAGGAGGAGGAGGAGGAAGAGGAAGAGGAAGAAGAGGAGCCAAGGCTCAGTATTAACCAAAGGGAAGATGAGGATGGCATTACTAATGAAGATGAGTTAGATAACACGAACACTGGATCAGGGGATGAGGATGCCCAGTCTAAAGATGATGATGAATTAGTTGAGCCTGCTAAGTATGAAGATTTGAAAGATTATGGAAAACATGCGGATGAAGCTCTGCTCAAAGACCTTGATAAAATAAGTCTTAAAGAAGAAAATGTTTCTGAGGAAAATTCACGTGGGGACCAGTCTGATTTCTTCTATGAATTTAGAAAACTTACCTTCACCAAAGGCAAGGTAATCATTGCTTCTACTCATAGATCTGAGATACTTTCATTGTAGTGAATGTAGTTTCAGGTTTGATTATTTATTTATTTATTTATTTATTATTTATTGAGACAGGGGCTCCCTGTATCCCCAGCTGGACTGGAACTCTCTGTGTAGACCAAGCAAAGAGAATTTTAAAATTTTATTTATACACCTATTAAGTGTGGGGGTGGGTACGTGTGCCATGTCGTGTGTGGAAGACAGGACAACTTGGAGGAATCACTTCTCTCCTTTCACCATGTGGGTCCTGGGGATCAAACTCAGTTTGTTGGGCTTGGCAGTAGGTGCCCTTTAACAGCTGAGCCACTCCACCAGCCCTAACTTCAGTTTTTATATACTAGAAATACTAGCTTCCCTGTTTGGTTGTGGTTTAATAAGGTTATGTTTTCTAATATACCTGTTTGATTCACTTCCCTCCTTAAGACTCGTGCGAATGTGCATAGGAAGAAGGGAATGCTGATAGTTCACATCCCTGTCTCTGGAGACTACCCAAACATGTCCCATCTCTGGATCATTTGGAGTAGCAGCATATTAGAATATATGTGCACTTAAAATTTTTATCTAAATTTACCTTTTCTTTAGCAAATAAAATTTCCTATTCACTCTTCTTTTGGCCCTCCATATTCCTTTAGTCTCCCACAGTAGTGTGCAGCTTGTGCAAGCGAGAAGGTCATCTGAAAAAGGACTGTCCTGAAGACTTCAAAAGAATCCAGCTGGAACCCTTGCCGCCACTGACACCCAAGTTTTCAAATATCTTAGATCAAGTTTGCATCCAGTGTTACAGTAAGTTGTTCACATTTTTTTATGTATATCAGTGTATTGCTGCATGTGTGTAAGTGCACTTGTGCCATGCAGTGCCCACAGAGGTCAGAAGAGGGTGTTAGTTTCCCCTGGAACTGGAGTTAAGGATGGTTTTTAGTCACCTTGTAGGTGCTGGGAATCCAATCTGGGTCCTCTGCAAAACCAGCCAGTGCTCTTAACTGCTAAGCCATCTCTCCAGCCCCCCACGTTTCTTTAGATGTGTCACAGGAGTTGACATTAGGAGTCATCAGAGTTGCTGTCAGCATTCCAAGCACTTACCCACTCTACTGAATCTTCAGTGTTCGGTGTCTTATACTCCCAGCTCCTCCTTCAAGCCTTAAGATTAGAAGATAGTACTCCTTCCCCAGCTGGTAAAAATGTTTTCTGTAATAGGTACATGTGATAGAAATTCAGGCACAAAAGGATTCTGTGACTAAGTAGGAAATCATCTACATACTCCTTCAATCTGCTGAGATTTCTAGAGCACACTATAATAAAGGCATCTGAGCAATGTAGTGAAATGATCTTAAGTTTTTAATCCAATATTTCTAAAACCTAAACACTTGTTTTTTGTCATTTTTAAATATATTTTTATTCTTTGAGAATTTTATACAATGTATTTTGATCCCATTCACCCCTATTCTGCCCCCTAACTGCTCCCAGAACAACCCCACTTCCCTCCCAACTTCATGTCCTCTTTTTAAAAAATAACCCAGCAAGTCCAATTTATGCTGCCCTGTGTTCATGAGTGTAGGGCGATCCAGTGGAGCATGATTAGCCTACCAGGAGTCACACCCCTGAAGAAAACTGATTCTCCTCCAGCAGCTATCAGCTGTTAATAAGGCCTCAGTTAGGGTGGGGGCTGGTGAGCCCCTCTGTGCTAGAAAGTTACTGACTGAATCTTGCGCGGGCAGCCACAGCTGCTGTGAGTTCATGAGTGCAGTAGGCTTGTTATATCTAGAAGATACTTTTCTGCTCTGGTCCTTCATAGCCTCTGGGTCTTAAGCTTTCTGCCCCTCCTCTGGCATGGTTCCTGAGCCTTTTGTGGGCAGAATATTTTTCAATGAAAATTACTAGCCCACTTCCCACTCTTTAAGGAACATCCATTTGTGGAGACACTGGTTCTTAGAGAAGTCTCAGCTTCTACAAAGAGATAACCTTTCAAGGAGAAGCAGGCCACCGCTTAGACTGGAGATACTTGATGTATCACATTTTGCTACATCTTGAGTAGTCCATTTGTGTCCAAAGATAGTTGTTCTTAATTGTTGACTTTATGTTTTCTTTTACTGCCCCCACCCCCAAGGAGCTCTCTGTGTGACTGAGGCTGGCATCAAACTTGCTGTCCTCCTGCCTCTACCTCCTAAATGCTAGAATAATAGGCAGGCACTACCATGCCCAGCTTAATCTCCCAACATCCATCTTTCTGACAGGACTTTACTGTGTTATTCAGTCTTGAACTACTGGGCTAAAGTGAATCCTCCTCTACCTGGGCCTCCCAAATAGCTGGGCTGTAAGCATATGCTGCCATGGCAAGCTACCATTCTTGCTTTTTCAGTTTTTTTTTTTAATATTTTATTTATTATTTTTATTTTATGTGTATGAGTGTATTGCTGGCATGTATGTGGGTGCACTCCGTGCCATGAAATGCTGTGGAAGTCAAAAGAGGGCTTCAGATTCCCCTAGAACTAAAGTTAAGGACAGTTCATAGCCACCATGTGAGTGCCGGGAATCAAACCGGGGTCCTCTGCAAGAGCAGTCAGTGCTCTTAACTGCTGAGCCATCTCTCCAGCCCCTCCTTTTCAATTTTTTAAAACTTTTTGGATGTTAAGTAAGAAAACTGGGTTCCCAGTTAAAAACAAACCATGTATATATTCAGAGTCTAGGCTTTCTGTCAACTTCAGCATAGAGCCCCTTTCTATATTACCTTCCATTTCAAGAGCAGTTCTTGGTTAGACTTGTTTTGAGACAGGGTCTCCCTAGTGACCCTGGCTGGCTTGGAACTTGCTATGTAGACCAGGAAACTTGCAATGCTTCTCTCCTCTGCCTTCCAAGTGCTGGGATTACAGTTGTGTACATGTGTCTGACTTATGATAGACTTGTTCTTGCTTTTATTTTATATTGCTAGTACCATCTACTGGGAAGGCATCAAAATTTAGTTCTTTTAAAAATTTGTAACTTTTCTCAAAAATATTTTTTCAAACAATATTGTCTTCCCCACTGCCCCCAAACCATTCCCCCACTCAATGACTATTTATTTTTAAACAGAGGACTTTTCTCCAACTATTTTAGAAGATCAGGCTCGTGAACATATTCGACAAAATCTAGAAAGTTTCATAAAACAGGACTTCCCAGGTAAGTAAGTTTTTTTTAATCTTTAGGAAAAGAAAGGTGTTGTGACCTTTTGAGTGAATACATGTATTATAAGCACATGAACTTAACAATAATAAGATAATCTTATGGTGATGGGGATTAGAGATCAGGTGCTTTTTTTATATACCCAGGCTGGATTTTGGTCTGCTACATCCTAATTTGCCAGCAGAAAAGACAGCAGCATAGGATTCTTTAGCAGATGCCTCAGGTGAATTTCACTTAGTATTGCAGGGAGTCATACCATAAGTGCATTTACAGGGGTTAGAGAAGAGGGTTCAGCAGTTAAGATCTTAGGTCCTTGCAGAGGACCTAAGTTCAGTTCTAGCATCCACACTGGGCTTCTCACAACTGCTCCAGTAGGATCCAACACTCATACACACATACTCCTATACAGACTCACACATATATGTATAACACACAGTTAAAAAATAAAGTAAATCTGTAAAAAGTATATTTACATAGAAAGCATTATCTTACATTATAAAAAATAGATGATCTGCATTTAAGTATAAAGTGGTACCTAGTAATCTTTTATATTATACAATGTATATATTTAAGTTATTAAACTTATTTAAACTAAGGGGAAACACTGAAAATAAAAATGTGGTTAAAAAGAATTTTGGGGCCAGTGAGGTGGTTCAGTGGGGTATGGGCCACCAGTTCTAACAACCTGAGTTCAATCTGGGACCCATATGGTGGAAGGAAAGAACCAACTTCTAAAAGTTGTCCTCTGACCTTCACATACACACTGTGGCCTTTGCATGTGTGCCGCATACACACTCACACACTAAATAAATAAAGTGGTAATTTTTTTTTTTTTTTTTTTTTTTTTTTTTGAGACAGGGCCTCCCTGTAGCCCCAGCTGTCCTGGAACTCACTATGTAAACCAGGCTGGCCTCAAACTCACAAAAATCCGCCTGCCTCTGCCTCCCAAGTGCTGAGATTAAAGGCGTGCGCCACCATACCCGGCCATAAAGTAATTTTTTTAGATAGGATATTTAGCAACTGGGTATTTCTGATTTCATGAAATAGATATTTTATTCTTAAAAATGTACTTAGATAATGAGCTATTACTTATTATCTATCCCTAACAGGAACTAAATTGAGTTTGTTTGGCTCTTCCAAAAATGGATTTGGGTTCAAACAGAGTGACCTTGATGTCTGTATGACAATTAATGGACATGAAACTGCTGAGGTACAGTGATCACATGAATCTCAAATTTGCTGTGAAAGTGTGATTTGCTCGATCGTTACTGAGAGAACTGATAGGTGTTTTCCATATGTACCAGGGCATACCACATGGAGTGAGCCTTTCCACATACCTTTTGCCAGATGCATTAAGAAGCATAGAAGTTGGAGCTGGGCGTGGTGGCACACGCCTTTAATCCCAGCACTTGGGAGGTAGAGGCAGGCGGATCTCTGTGAGTTCAAGGCCAGCCTGGTCTACATAGTGAGTTCCAGGACAGCTGGGGCTACAGGGAGACCCTGTCTCAAAAAGACCAAA